AGAGGGGGGGGGTGCGGCTGAACCCTTTTATCCGTTACATCCGGTGTAACGGTCGTGTGCTTGGCTTCGGTATCTTGTACGAACAACTTCGTGCGCTCGCACCTCACGCATGTGCAGCAGTACCATGGTAATGTACCATGGGTATACTCGTGGAAACATAACCCTGCCCTCCCCCACCGTGCTTTGCGTGCTCGTCTTGCATCTCTGAAGCACACATTTTCTCGTCGGCCTCACCAGGGTTATGCGGGCGTACCCCCACCCCTTCCAGCCATGAAGTAATACTGCGTCCTACGGTTGCGTATGTTGTCGCCTCAAGGTCCCGTTCAGTGATTTAAGTAAAACAGATGCGCTTTGTTCTTCGCGCCAACTGGCGTAACTGATTGATACAACTCAGTGTATAGGCTTACACAAACTCAAGATAAGCCCAGTTTCCAGTCGGTTTCAATCCACTTACTGAAAGACTTCAACGCATCCCTTTCGACTGAGGTTATGTTTACTTTCTGAAAACCGCGCTCAACGTTTGCGCTGTTGTCGCCTGCCTGCCTGCCTGCCTGCGTCAAGGTTAACGAGGAGACTCTCAAGTCTACCAAGGGCAGAGAATACGACTACGCCGACGGGGAGGACGGGGGAGAGCCCGGCGGGGGCGGTGAAAACGGCGATGAGAAGCCAACGGCAGAAGGATAACGTAGACCGCATAGGAAAGCGGTGCGTGCGGCACATTCGGGCGTATGGGTCTTGGTTGCTACCCAAAGAGAGAGGTGCTACGTGCGTGCCGAGGGAGCTTGTGGCGAACGCCATCACAGGACAGGCATAGGGGTGGTGGTGGGGGGGTGTACTCATGTAAACGCATGCCGTAGTCGTTAGACAACTGACCTAGCAGAGCGATTTTCCCCGACCCAGGGTAAGTTTAACAAGGATGAACCAGAAGCTGATAGTGTCATCATACCTGCGTTTGCTGTGCCGAACCATACACGGGGGGGAGAAATAGCGCACCAGGCGCGTCGTTGTTTTTGTCACAACCTGGCGAGGGCTGATCCTTGAGGTAAACCTTTGGAGAAGGACGGTCGTTTTCACCGTCTTGCGGGATCACGAATGAAAGCCGTACTTTTTGTAGATAGTTTTGAACATGAACGTTGGCACAATCACAAAATCAAAGGTGTACGCCGGGCGTCATTCGGAGGGTCCCCTAGCGTTGTGTCACGATCACAAAAATAGTCAGAGGTAGGTTACGCGAGGAAATACCTTTCGGAGCGTCACCGAGCGTCCTCAAGAGGCTCGCGGTTTTGCAAACGTGAAGTCGTAGAGGGCGGGTAGATGGGTGGAGGGTATTTCTAGCGGATGACAGCGAAGGTCTCCTGGCCATAGTCTCATGCATAGTTATCTCGTGAATCAAGGTATAGCTGGGCGTGAGTGAGTGTGGCCGTATCAGCGTGAAACTAAAGTCGTTGGGGGACAGCGTTCTTGGGCGTTTTCCCCTCATGGTGAGAACGAAGGCGTAGCTCATACAGTAGGGGAATAATCTAATCCCGTTTGTGCGGGATGGCACGCCTAGTATACTGCATGCCGCGGTCGGCTGACTCAACGATTTGTTAGATGCTAGAAGCTTTGTTTGCGAGAGAGTTTTTCATGTCAAGTTCTGGTGGGGGGAGGGCCAAGAGGAGTCTACGCGAAGATGATGTTCGCGGAGAGATCCAAAGATAGGGTGAAGGAAAGCATCACAATAAGCGCTCAAGTTTGTGTGCTTGTCTCTCTCTGACTCTTGTGCTTGCCGATAGCCGCTTTTGCGTGGGGCAGGAAGAAACGCAGCTACATAGCTCAGCCGAGGATCCTACACTGTTCTTGCGCGTACCCTTCGGTGGCGGCGACAGAGTAGAGAAAGACAACAAGTTCAGCCTCAACCAACCCGATTTTGATGATCGTTTCTTGTCTGCGGGCCCACACTACAAAAAAAATCCGCCCATTGCAACAGTTTTTCTGCAGATACATGTCGTGTAGAAGGTGGGAACAAACCCACCTGCAGGAAAATGGGTACTTTCAAAAGACACGCACGGCCTCCAAACTGTCACTTTCATCACCACGGCCATTTTTGCCGCGGGGGGACGCAAGGAGTGCAAGGCTCCACAATTTATGCCTAATCCGCTGTGATGGTTGATC